ATAATTTTCAAAATGAACAATAATTCTCATATTCTCTGAAATTCATCATTTATATAAATATAAATAAGAAAATTTTCAAATATCCATTTATTTTGACACACAAAATAAATATAACAATATTATTCATGGATTTTCAGTCTCTTTAAAAAAAATCTCCAAATTCTAGGTTTTCTCACCAAAACTATACAACTCAAATCTTTTGAAAAAAAACTTTCCAAAATCATATTTTCTTCAATCAACGAAGGTCAAAATCCATAAGATCATTTTAAAAGAATAAGAGACAAATCCACTTTCAAAATCGCTCAACTTCTTGAATCAACAATCAATTTTCAAAGCTATCGAAAGATGATTTCGAAAATCATATAGATCTTGCAAAAAGATATATACATATATATATATAACTCAAAGAAAATCCCTACCTCAAGTTTTGAAGAAAAAATAAGATGAAACCCTCAAAGTCAACGGTGTCAAACCTCGATCTTCACTGCACACAACGAAGCCCTCAAGAAGTTAACCAATTTTGATGAAGAACCTATGGCAGAACTCTAATAGATCTTGAGAAATCAAGGTTTTGATCCAATTTGGCGTAGGAAAAAGTAGAGAGAAGGGAGAGGAAATGTTTTTAGAGAGAGAGATATACAAAAGTGATATGAAATATCAGATTCACGAATTGATATAACATAGTCTGCTCGAGCGTGGAAAGCCCCGCTCGAGCATCGAATACACCTTTCCAGTACTTTTGCAGACAGGTCAAACTTCTGAAAAAGGCCTTAGATTATCTACATAGAATTGGTATCCTAAGTGTTGAAGTAAGTAATGAGTGTGTGTTTTGTCATGCAGAGGTTGAATCACTCAATCATGTTCTTTTGCTTTGCCTCTTTGCTTGGAAAGTTTGGTCCACCATAATCAAGTGGTGGGGTTTGCAATGGGCCTCCCTTAGTACCGTGGACATGCTTATGCCCTGGTGGTTAGGTTGGACTTATAGAAAAAGAGAGAAACAATTATGGAGATCAGTTTTGATTGTTGGTTTGTGGTCCCTTTGGAAATGCAGGAATGACTGCTTGTTCAATGAATTACGACCCATTTGTGATGACCTCTGTGAGTTAATTAAAATTAGAGTACCCCTCTAGATGAAAGCACACTCATTTGGGCAAGAGCATGCAATGGATGAGTTTGTCTACAATATTCAACAAGTTAGAAGTTGCTTGTAAGCAGAGAAGGGGTTTTGCTACTATGATCTGTATGCGGTCAGCAGAGATGGATGAGGGTGGTCTGAGCTTGGTTGCTGCTGTGTTGGTGTGTTTGCTGCTAAATCTAGGTGTTTTACTTCTTGGTTGCTTAGCTAGTTGTGCTATGTTAGTCTGCTAAGGTCTGCTAGTGGTCTATTTTTGTTCTGTTTGTTATGTTGGCTGGTTTGGTGGCTGAGTTTGTTAGTCTCTCACCAACTTTGGGGGTGCTAGCAAATGATAGGATAGGCTTTTTGGTATCAACCTGGCTGGGATGATTTAGCTCATTGTGATGCTTTTGCACTTCCCTTTTCATTCCTGATGATATTGTGCAAACTTTTTCTTCTAGACTAAATTGTAACTGCCAGAATCTCCCTTTGAAGTATCTTGGAATGCCATTAGGGGCCAATCCATTAAGAAGAGCAACATGGAAGTCTGTGGTGGAGAAATTTAAGAAGAAACTAATAGGTTGGAAGAGGAGGCTGTTGTCCTTTGCATGTAGAGTAACATTAATCAAATCAGTACTATCCTCATTACCTATTTATTACTTGTCTTTGTTTAGGTTGCCTAGAAGTGTGGGAAAAGAGATTGATAAGATCCAAGCAGCTTTCTTCTGGGGTGATTCTGAGATCAAGAAGAAAGTCCACCTGATGAAATGGTAGGATGTAACCATGGATAAAAAGCTAGGTGGGTTAGAGATTTAAAACTTAAAGGTTTTGAACAATAGCTTGCTTGCTAAGTGGAGGTGGAGATTTGGGGTGGAAGACAACTCCTTATGGAAACAGCTCATCTACAGTAAGTACAAGTCCGAGGGGGGAAGATGGTTTCCTTTTCATGTGGAGGCAAACAATATTTGAAGATTGTGGAGTGACATAATTCTTGTTAATGAATCTAATAACAACTTGTTTAACCATTATTTGCACAATGCTGAACTCAGATTAGCAATGGTGAAAGACTCAGTTTTTGGGTTAATAATCGAATGGGAACCATTTGTTTGAAGTCCCAATTTCCTAGATTATACTACTTATCAATGGAAAGGGACATATCCTTGCATATACAGTGGTCTAGGGCCAGAAATCAGAACAATTGGGCATTCAATTTCAAAAGACCCTTATTAGCATGAGAGGAAGATGAACTACTAAAGCTTCATCATGTTCTAGGTAAGGGGCCTAATTTGAGTTTGGATTCTAATGATAGTATTTTGTGGAAAGCTGATCCTGCAAGTATTTTTACTATTAAAGGCGCTGTTAACTGGTGTGAATCTTCTATTGGTCCTGCTCTAAAACTTCGTGACTTGATTTGGCACAATCCTTCTCCATCTAAAGCCCAATTTCTCTCTTGGTTAGTCTAGAAAGGGAGGTTAAAGGCCTTAGATTATCTACATAGAATTGGTATCCTAAGTGTTGAAGTAAGTAATGAGTGTGTGTTTTGTCATGCAGAGGTTAAATCACTCAATCATGTTCTTTTGCTTTGCCTCTTTGCTTGCAAAGTTTGGTCCAGCATAATCAAGTGCTGGGGTTTGTAATGGGCCTCCCTTAGTACCGTGGACATGCTTATGCCCTGGTGGTTAGGTTGGACTTATAGAAAAAGAGAGAAACAATTATGGAGATCAGTTTTGATTGCTGGTTTGTGGTCCCTTTGGAAATGCAGGAATGACTGCTTGTTCAATGAATTACGACCCATTTGTGATGGCCTCTGTAAGTTAATTAAAATTAGAGTAGCCCTCTGGATGAAAGCACACTCATTTGGGCAAGGGCATGCAGTGGATGAGTTTGTCTACAATATTCAACAAGTTAGAAGTTGCTTGTAAGCAGAGAAGGGGTTTTGCTACTATGATCTGTATGCGGTCAGTAGAGATGGATGAGGGTGGTCTGAGCTTGGTTGCTGCTGTGTTGGTGTGTTTGCTACTGAGTGTGGGTGTTTTGCTTCTTGGCAGCTTAGCTAGTTATGCTATGTTGGTCTGCTAAGCTCTGCTAGTGGTCTGTTTTGTTGGTCTATCTCTGCTGGGCCTGTGTGGGTGAAGTAGATGAGGGATTTTGTTGCTATGATTTGTATGCTATCAACAGAGATGGATGAGGGTGGTCTGAGCATGGTTGCTGCTGTGTTGGTGTGTTTGCTGCTGAGTCTAGGTGTTTTACTTCTTGGTTGCTTAGCTAGTTGTGCTATGTTGGTCTGCTAAGGTCTGCTAGCGGTCTATTTTTGTTCTGTTTGTTATGTTGGCTGGTTTGGTGGCTGAGTTTGTTAGTCTCTCACCAACTTTGGGGGTGCTAGCAAATGATAGGATGGGCTTTTTGGTATCAACCTGGCTGGGATGATTTAGCTCATTGTGATGCTTTTGCACTTCCCTTTTCTTTGTTGATGGTATTTGTTTTTACTTTGTACTTGATTCTTACATCAATGTAGTTTCTTTTTTGCCGATCAAAAAAAAAAAAAAAAACTGACATTTACTACTGTGGGAGCCGAATAATGGCAAAATCAGAAGGTGCGTACCTTAGAAGACTGATATTAATCAGCTGTGTCCTACAAGAATAGGAAGCCGAATAAAATACATGTGCCAGATAAGTGTAGAACCTTAGAGCCGAATAAGAGAAAGAACAATGATTAAAAAGTAGGCCCTGGCCCCGAGGATCAAAAGGAACAGGTATAAATATAGGAACAATGGATTGAGAATGGTATGTAAGAATCACTTCACTTAACTTAGAAAAGAAGCTATCCTGAATGTCTGAACTGACTTGTCCGTCGGAGTGCTAATTCCGGCACCCCCGATTGAAGTGTTTGTATCTTTCCAGGTGACTAGCTGAGGATCACTAGCGTCTCCCAAGATCTAAAGAGTATTTCTAAACCACATCCCCACAATTGGCGCCGTCTGCGGGAATACTCAAATACATCCATGGCAGGCGTGACTGAAGATCCTCCGATAGCCACTGACGAGACCGCACAGGGAGATGACCTCACTCCAGCAACTATGCTCGGAAAGGAAACCATCGCTACAAGACGTGCCTTGAACTTCGACTCACCAACGACTTCAGCACAAGAGACAATGCGAGCGATCATGGAACAAGCAAAGTAGAATGAACAAAGGCTGGAGAACATGATTGCTAAAAATGAACGTCTCCGTCAAAATTTGGCCCTAGAAGTAGCAAAATCCAGAGAAGTCGTGCGCTAAGATCCCGGACGACCTCCGACGGCAGGTGGACAACGACCTCAAGCCCGACCAAAGGAGACCGATAGCGACTCCAACTCATCACCTGCGGAGCTCAACAAGAAGGGACAATCCGAAATTTCCAGCTCCTCCGAAAAGAGTCTACATACAAGGAACAAGCGCAGAAGAAGCAGTTCAGACGAAGAAGACCAACACGATCCTTTTGTCCGATGGATCGCAAGGGCGGCCCTACCCAAGAAGTTCAAAGCTCCGTCATTCACTCTTTACGACGGAAATTAGACCCCACTGATCATATCCGTCACTACAAGCAGGCCATGACATTGCATGCAGACAACGAAGCCCTCATGTGCCGAATATTTCCCAGCAGCCTGGGGCCGTTAACTGTCAGGTGGTATTACAAGCTGGAGCCAGCTTCGATCAAAAGCTTCCATCAATTACAAAAATCCTTCAGGGCCAAGTTCATCACCAACGAGGTACAACTGAAACAGGCCGACTCTCTCTGGGCTATGCAGATCCAGTCAGGAGAAATGCTCAGAGCGTATTCGGCGCGCTATTGGGAGTGCTTCAACCTCATCGACGACACTTGCAACGACTCCATGGCCATCACCTCCTTCAAAATGGGACTACATCCCGACAGTGCTCTTCACAGTTCCTTGACCAGAAGATCCCCAAAACAGTCTGGGCGTTGATGAAGAAAGTTGAAGAGTATTGCAAAGTGGAAGATGATGCCTTGAGAATAAAAGCCGGACAAATATCCAACAAAACGGCCCCCCTTGAAATTGCTCAACCAATAAGTTCCGTGCCATCCCCAAGCCCTGAGCCACGGTAACGTGCTAAACGAGACAAAAGACAGGACTCTCGCCGATCAAGCGATCAATGCTTCCATCGGACGAATGAACAACTGCAAGTCGACAGCAGGCGCTCGAGGCGTGCCAACAAGAAGTACACAGAGTTGTCAGAACCAATCACTGCAATAATGACCAAAGTCCAACACCTTCCATTTTTCAAATGGCCGTCAAAGATGGTGGGGCCACCCGACACGCGAAGAAGGGATAGGCAGTGCGAGTATCACAAAGATCACGGCTACGAAACCAAGAGCTGTTACGCATTAAAGGATCACCTGGAAGAACTGGTGCAAGACGGCCGACTGCAACAGTACGTGAGAAAGGGAAAGCCAATCCAGGCATTAGCCTTGAGGCAGGACTCACCTCCACTTGGTGTGATCCATATAATCTACAGCCTGCCTGTGTCCCCAACCGTGCACACAATTCAATCGCATCTAATCCCCCAAAAGCAACATATTTCGACCGAATGGCCCAGAGAAGCTCCGACAATTACTTTCAATGACTTCGATCTTAGCGGCACAATAGCCTCCCACATTGATCCGTTGGTCATCAAATTACGCGTAAATCGATTCACCATTGAACGCATTCTCATAGACCCAGGGAGTACTTCAGAGGTTATGCATTACAAAACTTTCATCAAACTCGGCTTCAACGAGTCAGATCTGTCTCCAGCGCCTCACCTATTGTTCGGCTTTAATACGAATCCTGAGTACCCATTAGAGAAGATCATACTACCTATTCGAGCGGGCTCCAGAACGGTCGAAGTAGAATTCCTGGTCGTAAAGCTTCCTTCGCCGTATAATGTCATCATGGGGTGAACCTAGTTACATATTATGAAGGCCGTTCCAAGCACTTATTATCAGCTTGTACGCTTCCCGACAGCCCATGGCATTGAAGAAATCCGTGGCTCCCCTCAATCGGCATAAGCAAAGATTTTATTAGAACCATATCACTGACCCGACCTGTGGGCTTTGATACTTGTATATATATCACTTCTGCAATGCAAACCATTTTTCTTCGTCGCTCAATTCATTTCTCGAAGCCCCCCTTTGGTGCATGACACCTTAGGGCCGATTAAGCCTCCGGATTCGGAGCGCCCTTCGTGGATATCACGATTGGCCAAACTAAGTCTCTGGATTCGGAGCCCCCTTTGGTACATGACACCTTAGGGCTGATTAAGCCTCCGGATTCAGAGCGCCCTTCGTGGATATCACGATTGGCCAAACTAAGTCTCCGGATTCGGAGCCCCCATTGGTGCATGACACCTTACGGCCGATTAAAGTCTCCGGATTCGGAGCCCCCCTTTGGTGCATGACACCTTAGGGCCGATTAAGCCTCCGGATTCGGAGCGTCCTTCGTGGATTTCACGATTGGCTAAACTAAGTCTCCGGATTCCGAGCCCCCTTTGGTGCATGACACCTTAGGGCTGATTAAAGTCTCCGGATTCGGAGCCCCCCCTTTGGTGCATGACACCTTAGGGCCGACTAAGACTCCGGATTCAGAGCGCCCTTCGTGGATATCACGATTGGCCAAACTAAGTCTCCGGATTTGGAGCCCCCTTTTGGTGCATTACACCTTAGGGCCGATTAAAGTCTCCGCATCGAAACGCCGGTTATGGAACCCCATCAGCGCAAGATGTCTTTGGGCCGATTAA